GAGACCCACCGTGGCCCAGTTGGAGCACTTCAAACAGGTCCTGGTAAGGAGCGGTGGGCGGGAGCTGAGGGGAGCCGACTTCAGCATCAGTGACCAGTTTCCCAAAGAGATCCTGGACAGACGGAGGCTCCTGTTTCCCATCCAAAAAAGGTTCATCAAAGGAGGCTCCCCGGCTGTCGTCGAGGGTGTCAAACTATCTGTCAATGGCCAACTCTACCAGGAAACCCCCCCGTGGCTCTACTGACACCAGCTGATATCTACACACTCACATCCTAGTATTTAGGGACCACGTTGGACTGCATAGCCTGGATACATTTGTAATATTCTACTTGGTCTCACAGTGAGCAGTTCAAGTAGACACACCACCTCCACAGCTGGATGCTGAAGTCTCACAACACAGAGCAAAGTCCTACATGGTGATGCTCTACCTGGGTCCTACAGAGTGATTGTCTACCTGGGTCCTACAGGGTGATGATCTACCTGGGTCCTACAGGGTGATTGTCTACCTGGGTCCTACAGGGTGATGGTCTACCTGGCTCCCACAGGGTGATGGTCTACCTGGGTCCTACAGAGTGATGGTCTACCTGGGTCCTACCGGGTGATGATCTACCTGGGTCCTACAGAGTGATGGTCTACCTGGGTCCTACCGGGTGATGATCTACCTGGGTCCTACAGGGTGATGGTCTACCTGGGTGCTACAGGGTGATGGTCTACCTGGGTCCTACAGGGTGATGGTCTACCTGGGTCCTACAGGGTGATGGTCTACCTGGGTCCTAGACGGTGATGGTCTACCTGGGTCCTAGACGGTGATGGTCTACCTGGGTCCTACACGGTGATGGTCTACCTGGGTCCTACAGAGTGATTGTCTACTTGGGTCCCACAGGGTGATGGTCTACCTGGGTCCTACAGAGTGATTGTCTACCTGGGTCCTACAGAGTGATGGTCTACCTGGGTCCTAAAGAGTGATTGTCTACCTGGGTCCTACAGAGTGATTGTCTACCTGGGTCCTACAGAGTGATTGTCTACCTGGGTCCTACAGGGTGATGGTCTACCTGGGTCCTCGACGGTGATGGTCTACCTGGGTCCTACACGGTGATGGTGTACCTGGGTCCTACATGGTGATGGTCTACCTGGCTCCCACAGGGTGATGGTCTACCTGGGTCCTACAGAGTGATGGTCTACCTGGGTCTGTAAATC